TCCCTACATTTCAGAAAACCAGCAACCATGAAAGCATGTTCTTCTCCAAAAACAAGCTTTTTGTGGGTTTGACCTTCAAAAACAGTGGTACAGTAAAAGCTCTGTTATCCAGCATCCCCCATTCCTGGGGGATGTTGGATAACAAAATATGCCGGTTAACTGAGCGGCCCAGGCCGCCGCTTCTCCTGCGGAGTCTGGGGCATCCCTCTGCCCTGTGGGTCCTGCGGGACAGGAAGGCGGGCCCCGCACAGCCCGTTATGCCCCCAGGCTGTGAGGGCTTGGAGAAACCAGAAGTGCCACAGTGGACACTTTCCGTTGTACTTTATCTTACAAGCCGGAATGCCGGTTAATTGAGCATGCCAGCTTGTAAGATGTCGGATAAACAGAACTTTTACTGTACTTTACTAGTATCAATTTGTTGAAGTAGTATTTTCAGCTACCTTCTAAGTTACTTTAGAGCATAAAACACCAAATTTCTCCAGTGCACAGGAATGAAGTAATACCTGCTTTGCCAATCTGAACTGCCAGCTTAGTAAGTTTGCCTTGTAGAACTGATTTTTCTTTTTTTGGCAAATTAGCTCTCTTCTTGTCTTTCTCATCTCCATCTCCACCATCTTCACTCTTCAAAGGTTGCATTTCCATGGCTGCACCATCTTGAGCTTTTGCTAGGTATAGAAATACAGAACACGGAAGTTTAAAATTAGCGGTCTCACCAAGATTACAAGGCAAAAGTCAGTAACCAACTGGAATGCAGTAAATACCCATGTGACATGTTTTTAAAACGCATATACTTATTTGAATTTATCTGGGTTCTGCCTACATTTGCCTAGAAATCCTTTGTTTAGGTGTCATGTGTCAACTCGGTCTTTAAATCATAATTTTCAGACACCCAAATTATTATTTTTAGTTTTGTATTCCTACATTTACCTTTGTTACGGTTCTCTAAAGCTCCGTCTTGTTTTTTACCTACAAGACAAAAAAAAAATAAAGTCTCTAAATGCATATAAAAAGAATTAAATATTCATGCCCCCCCCCCCCCCCCCCCCCCTCCCCCAGCTTTATATATTCCCCATACAATTTAGTTTTTATTAGGGAAACTAACAAGTTGACAAGGACCAGCTTGTTTATCTTTAAAAAGATGTTACTTAGGTACAGGGGCATTAGGTTATTCTTAAAAAATGGAGAGATTTATATTTACAGTGAACTTTTTGAAGTCAAGTTCTCTTGCAGTACTGCTGCAAAAAGCTGGCAAGGCAAAATGTCAAAAACCAAAGCTACAAGCTTTGGGAGATTTCTAGAAGTCTTCCTGAGAAGGGAAGTGTAGGTATTCCAGCCTGCAGTCACCTCTTCCACCCTGCCGCCCCAGAAGGGAATCATCCCAGGTTGGGGAACTTATTGGGAGCCTTTCCTTACTGCTCAGCTCCTCCTGCTCCTGGGACAGGTTGAGCTGCCACTGCTACCCATGCATCCCCTTATCCTAGTCCTGGGAGGAGTCATTTAAGACCTTTCTCCAGGATTCAGTACATTTCCTGCAAGAGAAACTGCATAAGCACTTGTATACTTTCCATTTCAAGAGAGTGGCTGTCTTCCCACTACAAAATATAATGCCTATCCATACTCGTATGGATGTTTTAACATGGAAGTAAAAATAAAAAAATCTACACAAAAAAAAACCTGCTAGTTTTGCATGTGGCAGTTCCCAGCCAAAGTAGTAAATGTCAGAAGTTAAATATCCGAGTCTTCACAAATGAAGTAATTAAAGAATAAAAGCCAAGACAACTTCATATGTGCAGGGCAGGGGGAAGAGCGAGTGAGGAGGGGCAGCTTTTGTTTACTTCATTTTTATAAAAATTAAGGCTGCCAGCATAGCTAGACTGCAGATTCCAAAACCAACATGTCTTACTGTAAAAGCCGACCATGAAACTGTACACGTTTTGCATTTAATACTTCTCTAATCAAAATTTTATGAGAACTACTACATTTAAGGATCTCTGAAAGATTCTGCATCATTCCAGAGAAAGGAATCAGTGAGATCTATGGAGAGCAAGATGTATTGAGAGAAATCCAGTCTTGGAAATGCTTTTAACCCCAGCTTTTGAGAACCCCCATAAGATAGGGTGACCATAAGTCCCAATTTGGCCAGAACAGTCTGATTCCATAGACTGTCCCAGTGCCCCAGCCAGCGGGTAAGGATTGAAGCAAAAGTCCTGGACTGGTAAGGATTAGCCAAGGTAGGGAGAGCGTGCTGCTGTGAGCTTGGGCAGCTTACATGTGCATGTCATCCCGGGGAGGGGCAGAGGAGGTGGTGGTTAGGGGTGTTTGAACCCCTGCCCTGAGGACAGCAAGGATCCCTCCCCACTCTGGCTGCTGGAAGGTACCCATTTGGGGGAGTGGGTGGCTCTGGGCTCTATCCTGGGACTGCAAGCTGGGCCAAGTGACAGTGACCACCATAGCAGCAACAACCTCACTGGGCTGCACCTGCTGCCACATCAGGTACTTGCAAGCACTGCCTGCACAAGACAGGCATGGGGGCAGAGCTGTGTGCCTGACCATGATGCTTGTTGGGGGTGTTATGCACCCAGGTCTGTATGGAGCCTGATGCCTCCTGCGTACTAGTTCCCACCTCCTTCTAGAAACTTCAGTCAGGAACCAAGAGAGGTGCTGGACAGGTCCATGCCAGGCAAGAGGGTGCATGCATGCACTGGGATGGGGGAAGAGAAAAGGTAGAAATCACAGAAGTGTGGGGGACAGTCCAACAGGGAGACAGAGCAGCATGGTATGTGCCAAGCAGGTAGGCACCACTGCTGACTGCTGCAATATGCTTCTGTGTCTACCTCTGCCTGTAGTAGCACTGCCAAACAGGGGTGGGGGGGGGTGCAGTATCCCTTGATTTCCCATGTAGTCACCCTACCCATAAAATCAATGGTGCATTTATTTGCCAAAACCAGTTTCATGCAACTTAGATAAATATTTTCATTCCCAAGAAGGAACAAAGATTTCTACCCCCTCCCCAGTGCTAGGCCACAAGAGTTCAGGATTTAAGGATGCCCTCCCTTTTTTCAGACATGCCTTTGATAATGTATTTCCCATGATTAAAGAATGCCATTTTCAAACAGGTGGGCATCAAGATACAAAAAGTAAAGAATAAATCTGCCCTCCTAATTAAAGATGTTTATTGCAGCTTCCATTTGCTCGCTGCCATCCCAAGACAGAAGATCCAGTTCAGCAAGGCTTTTCTTACTTATGCTGTCATCAACTGCAAATTGAAGTGAAGTGTTTACAGAATTGATGACTCCAATTCTTAAGCTGTTTTTAACCAGTCTACAATTCTCTTTTCCCTAATTGCTGTTCTTTATGTAGTTCCTTTTAGCCGAGTAGAGCACAGCCACTGCTTTTGGAAGTTAAAGGCTACAGTAACGTGTAAAAGTCAGCTCCAGTCTTAAGTGGAAGTACAATAATAGCTTCTAATGAGGATACATTCTTGCCGAAGAATGAAACAGATTAACTAAATTATTTGTGGTCTTGTTTGTTCTTTGAAGCAGTAAGGAGGAAGTGGTTCTCGTCATTAATGGAAAATTTAAGTAATGCACTAATGAAGGGAAGACAATTTGGCTCTAACTTGCAACATGTCCTATGCGCTGTAGATGTGTGCACTATGTGCACAAAGAATAAAGTCAAATTGAATTCCCTGTTATTATTATATTTCTTATTCTATTTTATATTACTTTTTTCTTTATGCACCATTATACAGCATGTTCAATTTTACTGCTGTTTTAAGTAGTAGAATGTGCAGTTTTACTATGATTTTCACCAATAGCCACGAGTTAGGTAATTTATTTGAATTGTTAATGCTAATACATCATTTTAGCAACAGCTGTAAATAAACTATCATTAGAAATTGCTGGCTTTATGATGGCCATATGTACAGGCAGTCCTCAATTTACAACGTTTCAAGTTGAATTTTGCACTTACAATGTTTATAAATTTGACATCAGTTTTTACTTTACAATGCTTGATCTGATGCCATGCCAGTGAACAAGTTCACTGTTGCCCATCTCTCTGGAGAACCTGTCCAAAATTCTTTCGACAACTTTAAGAAAGCAGACAAAACTCCAGCAAATCCTGCAGCCAAGAATAAGACAACTCCAGCTGAGAACCCTTCAAAAAGTCCAGCAAAGTCACCTCAAAGAAGTCCTTCCAAATCAATGATTGCTATTTACAATATAAATGCATTAAAATGTAGCTACTACTCATTTATAAGTTGATAGTGTACAAAAATTCTGGGTTATTTTTGGTGTAAATAGGGTATCGGGCCTTGGTTCAGGAACCAATCCTGTATTTATAACATTGTTTCCTATGAGGGGAAGGGAGGAGGGGGAAAAATCTATTCCAAGTTACAATGTTTCAACTTAAAACTTGGTTTTCAGGAACCCAATTGTGTTGTAAATCTGATGACTGCATGTACTTAAAATCTTAAGGTTCTAGGATGCTGCTATCAAATCTTAGCAAGTTTATATACCAAGTCTTGCCAATTCATAACCACAGTTCTTTAGAAATGCAGAAAGTGATGACCAAAGTTATCCTGTTACAAGACAATTTTAGAAACTAAAGTTACTCCTCATGTTTCACCCATGTTTCTTGTATCTTCCGTCTTGTGAAGAATTAGCATTAGCACTGTGATTATGGTTACAAAGGAGATTGAAAAGTTAGTTTGTATAAGCACTGGAAGAGAGAGAAATCGAATTCTCTCATTTACTATGATCGACAAGCTAGCTCAGACTCCAGGAATGAAATGAAGTACTTCCTATTGTTGCCCCCCCAAAAGCTTTGATGATCCACTTTAGGAATTTAAAGACTGACTAGCCTTTACTCTGCCAAGTTCCAGGAGAAGCTAAGTTTGAATGAGCAAGTGCTGCAAACCTGTTGGCCACATCTAGTAGGTAAATTTATCCCTCAAACCATTTCTCTGCAAGTACCATTGGAAAAAATGTTTGTTTTTTAAAATGCAGGGAAACAAAAAAAAAAAAAAAAAAAGAAGTCAGACGCTACCCTACTTGAGATCTTTGATTGTGGTGCCTACTCCTTCGATAATTTTCTTCTACTCTGACTTGTGGCAAGAGTAGGGATTAGACTCGTACACCAAGATAGAGGGACAAAAGTCATTGTATTTATTCTTATTCTAGAGCAATGGAATCCCGGTGTTGAGGCCTAAAGCAAGACACATTCTTTAAAAATTATACCCTACCTTAAAAAGTCTAACAAAAACAGCAAACTCAGGACTTGTCTACACAGATTCAAGATGGTAACTATTAAATCAATCATTAAAATGTATTAAAAACAATTTAAAAACTATAAATTTAAAGCTTGGCAGCATCCAAAAGTCTAGGAGAGTCAGCTTTCCTCAGTTACCTGTCAAAAAGTTTCCTCAGTCAACAAGTATAAATCTAAACTAGGACTGTCCAAACAACTGGATGCCTTTAAAAAAAAAAAAAAAAAAAAAAAAAAAGTTTGCTTTCCAAAGTCATGCTTGCTGCCTTTTCAAAGGTTTGTTAAGTTTGTACTTAAGTCTTCAAGGATTTGAGTACATTTCTTGTACCAGCTGCTCTTACTTGCTTCCTTTCCCTCTTACTTTTGTTACAATGATGCAACTCTTGGTTTGCTCTCAGTACTGTGCCCCTTCTCAGCTAGGTCTCCTCGCCCTCTTTTAATGGGTCACCATTTAAAATTAAAACCTTTTCTGGATTAAGACAGAAGAGAAAGACTATGGGTCTCTGGTAGTTTGCACTCAACTATCTACTGTAGCTGAAGCCATTTTGGATATGAACCAGAGGAAAAACTTGAGTCAAGAGAAGTTTCCTGCTGTAGATATGGAAGTACACATCTCAAAAAAAAACAACACAAAACACACACACACACCAAAAAAAACAAAACATGCAATTCAAAACCAAGTATGCTTTCTGCCAGAGATTTCAGGCTAAAGTGGTATTTACATTAAAAAACTAAAAAAGATTCTTCCCACAGATTTCTGGAAAGACTATTTGAGTTTTCCACACATTTTCAACTGGTTGGGATCACATTTATTAGCTTAGTCCTTACATTTATATATCTGGCAGTTGGTTAACTGAATCAAGTAGTGCAAGACCTAGATATGGCTCTGGGAAAATCATAGGAAAAAAAAAAAAGATTCAAACACAGCTTCCTCCACAGTTATTCTGTATTCAGTTTGCCATGAGTCGTGAGACTCCATTTTTCAAACCATCTTCTCCACAAAAACATTACAATATATTATCTACGTTTTGCAGAAGCCATGACAATGGCATGCCTTACTTATCAGAACTAATAGGATAATAAAAACTGATATTTGAGGATAGCTGGTAGACAGTGGGAAAAAAACCCCAAAAAAAACCTCATCTTGATCAGCACTTGGGTTGTTACCCAATAAAAGAAGATTAAGCTGTCCCTCACCATGTTAAGTGAAGCACTCTGCTAAAGATTGAAGATCAGGAGGTTTTCCTTTCTAAGCACGCAACTGTGAATCACTGCACAATATTTCACTGCAAACAGGGCGGAACTAGAAGTTGTAAGCTTGAACTAGGAAAAGGTAGAGAAATGTGTTATGATCGGTTCTTACTTCAAGACTGAAGACCCCATAGGGGAAGATTCTAAAAAGCACTAAAGAAAAAAAAACAAAAAAACAAAAAAAACAAAAACTAATGCTCAAATTATCTGCAACTATAACTCTAATTGTATCAATCTACTTTACTTGGCAGAATGAAGTTTACATCTATTATATAAAATTGAAGGAGTTGTTCAATCAGATTAATTGTGTATAGCCTTACTTCTGAAAGAGCATCAAGTTAGTGCCCCAAAATGGACAAGGCTTAAGAGGTCTTAAAACATGGAAACATGAGGTCCAAAAAGTTCTGTAAACATGGAACTTAATTCCCAAAAGGCTTTATTATTGTAGTTGAGCAACTTAAAGTTTGTATGCCTACTTTTCTTGTCCTTTTTCTCTTTTTCCTTTTCTTTCTCTTCTTCCTCTCCTCCAGCCCCAAGTAAGGTAAAGATGATTCCAGTTTGAGAGTTCACGCCTACAGCAGTAACTACCATTCTTCCAGAGCCTTCCATCACATGGGTACCTGGGGTGGGGGGGGGGAAAAAGTGCACTTTTGTTTTCCTCTCAGAAGTGTCAAAGTGGCTAGCAGACTGAGACTAGCCCACCAGAGGAAGTTTCTAAAACGAGGACCTTCTCTAAAACCAAGCAGTCAAGAGTCACTCTGGTTCTTGGAACATGGGTTCATTATTGTGATAATCAATGAAAACTAGTCAACAGTTACTGCAAAGTAAAGAATGGGAACAGAGCACATGGAAAAAGCAAAACAAAAACCTACGATTACTTTTTTTCCCAAAAACTAGAAATGTTTGACTAGAGGCAGCTCACAAAAAGTTAACAAAAAAGTTTAATTTCATCCCAAAACATTCAGTTAGAACAAGTTTGAAGAGATCAGATTTTCCTGAATTTTTCCTCCTACTATTCAAATACTGTAAATTAAAACAAGTGTTCTCCTCCAAACTGGTCTACAGCAATTTGAGTAATAGGTGTAGCTGCACTACTACTGGGGAGCACACAAGCAGTTCAGAAGACTCTTGAAAGCAAAAGTGCAGTCTATCCTGGGATCAAAGAGTCCTCTTAAAAATGAAACTGAAATGGACAGTGCATATGTTAGTTGAGCAAGATACCTTAATTGTTCAGAAAATTAATAGTGAGGATGTATAGAAATTAAAAAGAGATCTATCCCCACTCATATCCTCCTTATGCTTACATACATTTCTCACACGTTACTACCATTTGCACTCAGTGACTTTAATCCAAGCAATTCAGTAATTATTTTCAACAGTAAGGGAGACCAATGTTGAGTAATTTGGTAAAATAACTCTCAGATCTGTGAATCCAGGCATTTTCCAATAGTCTGGAGTGAAATAATTTCTGTTCCCCTGGTGACCACCCTGGAATGACAATACTGCAATTTAAAATGATCAAAGTTAGTTATTACTACTGTTCTGTAACAAGGTAAAAATATTTGTAACTATAAGAAAGGTGAACATGTACTTATGAAACAAATGAAGCTTTTCCAGATGAAGGACATTAAAGCTTCCATATCTATGTCATTAGGATATTATGCCTCAAACACTGTGGACCACAAAACCAAGAAGTCAGACCAAGTTTGATACTACTGGCATCTCAGAAGTAAGCTAGTGTTCGAAAGGGTGCCTTTTCTATTGCAGGTGATAACAAGACTTAAGAAAAGAGAAGTTTCTTACAGGTCATTCTGAAGGTGAAACAGCACTAATAGCCAACATGTTGCCTCAGGTGGTACACACACACACACACACACACACACCCCCTCAACACTATATCCTGAGAGCTTGTGCTATAATAAGAAACCTTTAAAACTTCTGTATTTCAATTATAACCCATTGAAAAAATGTCCATTCTATGAAATACTAAGCCACACACCTGACAGCAGCATAGGATCTTTATCCAAAGACTTTTTAACATGATCAGATTCTCCAGTTAGTGAGCTTTCATCAATTTTAAGGTCATTTCCTTGAATAAGTACCCCATCAGCTGGCAGAAGATCACCTAAATTAAGAACATCAACATCTGTAAACTCAGATACTCATAAAAGTCAAAGAATTTTGAAAGTTGAAAATCCATATTTACCGTATTTTACTTGTGCAATATCCCCAACAATTATGTCGGCTACTGGTATTTGGATGACTTGGCCACCCCTGATGACAGTGAACTTCTGTTCTTGTTCAATGCGGCTTTGCAACCCCCTAAATTGTTTTTCTTTACTCCAGTCATTGAAAGCTGTTACTAGAACTACGCAAACTACTGATAGAAGGATTGCAGCTCCTTCAATCCAACCTGTTTCACCTTCTTCCTCTTCTTCACCAACATTCACTACTCCACATACTGTAAGAGAAAATTTAGAGCTCAAACCAACTTATTAACCTTCATTAAAAAAAAAAAAAAAAAAAAAAAAAAACCCCACACACACACACACACACAAAAAAAAAAATAAAAAAAAAAATAATAAAAAAAAAAAATCAGCATCTCAGACTGAAAAAAACCAGTGTAAAAAGATTTCCTAAAAAAAGGTTCAATTTAGAAGCCGGTCAAAACGTTTAAAAAGGTCGTAAGAATGCACAAGATCAAGAAAGCAATTTTGAAGAGTAGCTGGGGAAACTCAGGACAGATTGGGAAACTAGAAGTTATGAATAAGATTTAAAAAGTTATTATGCCCATGTATAGGCATTTGTCTTGGCTTATGGAGGATTTCAACTGTTCTTTGAAGGGCTGTGCAAGTTGCTACCAACTAGTAAACAGAATGAAATGTAAGAGCACCAAATTGTGGGCACTTCCTTGCATGTTGTCACAAGTCACCCTCAAGGAACAAAGCACAAGGGACCACATTAAAGAAAACATAACTGGATGCACAGCAAGCCACCTTAAAAAAAAAAAAAAGGAGAATCAGTGCAAAATTAAGATGTTTACAGGAAAGAAAACTTAAATATGCCGCGTCGCAATTGAAAATGGCATGGCGAACCCCAATTTAAGAAACCCAATCTATTTACACAAAGTTTTTGAACACAGAGCTAGATTCATGTGGAAGTATATATTGCATTGTTTATAAAAAAAAAAAAGCAGCAGTTCCTGCTGCTTTTGACTTACTTGAAGCACAAGATTTTGTATACGGTATTTCAATCAATTGCCAAAATTTGACAACCTACTCTAGAAAAACTGGTGCTGCCATTTAGGATGCAATCCTAACAATATTATCCGAGTAGGGAAGGAACACACAAATAAGGCAACCATACAATTTGGAGGCAGCTCTGAATGTCACTACCTGCTGGTTAAAAACTAAGTTTATACGGCTGAGTTCTGAAAACTGGCAATGCGATAATACGAGTTTTACTTACATGCTTCATTCCCTCCTGGAGGTTGGTAAAAAGAAAGGCCCAATGATACTATGGCTGCAATTTCTAGTATAATTAGTGTAACATCCTGTAGTGCTTCCCATACTAACTGAAGAAATGTTTTTGGCTTTTTAGGAGGTATAAAGTTCTTCCCAAACACTGTTTCTCTCCTCTCAATATCTGCTGGATTTCCACTTAAACCTAGAAAGAAAGGATCAGTGATGTTATGCTACATGAATATTTGCCTGCGTTTTACAGAAGTGAAACTTCCCATTCGTTAGGGTCAAAGAAGTTCATCAATGGCCCCACAGGTAGTATGAAGTAAGATGAAGCCAACACCATATTACTTACCTCCAAGTAGCAGAAGTTCACATTTGCAAGTGGGGCTCATTTATAACTGAACCAAAATAACCCCAGATCAAGTGGAGACAATCCCTTAAATCCCACTATACACCAAGATATTTGCTCCCAACTCACCCAAATATGCACTCATTAACATTCAAGTGCAAAACAGTTTATTACAACAGTCACAAAAAACAAGGCAATTTCTAGAGATCAGTTATACTTGGAAGGCAACACCACCTATAGATGTCAATATCTGGTAAAAACAAAGAGCAGAAATATACATAATCTGCAGAGCCCTTCCCCTAAAGTTGTCTTTAGGAGCCAAACTTCTCAGAAATACTGGGCAGAAGCGGACCTAAACAGTACAAGCACTTATGCAGATCAGTGGCAACTTCTGGATAATCACTAAACAGCTGTTTTGGAAGTCGAGATCAATTTGAAGCCTGCCACAGGAAAAAAAGGAAGTTTATTTTATTGTGCATCACAATGTGGTCTATTGCTCTACATTTTAAAAAAAGGAAGTGCGGTGTGATGGGATACAACCAGTGACTTGTGCGCTTCTCAGCTGCTTGGGTCTGAGAAACTGGCAACTGTTCCTCCAATTTATGTCTTAGCCTTTCTACAGATGTAAACTACATTTGACAGCTATCAGCAATAGGACCCAATTTGTCCAACCACTTAGGCACATGGTAACCAGCATTTTCCAGCATTGGAGTTACCCTGTTACTTAGACATCTACCCTCCAGTCATAGAAAATTAGGGTTGGAAGGGACCTCAGGAGTTCATCTAGTCCAACCCCCTGCTCAAAGCAGGACCATCCCCAACTAGATCATCCCAGCCAGAGCTTTGTTGGGCCATGCCTTAAAAGCCTCCAAGGACAGAGGTTCCACTATCTTTTTAGGTAATCCATTCTAGTGCTTCACCACCCTCCTAGTGAAAAAGTTTTTCCCCCAATATCCAACCCAACTTCCCTTGCTGCAACTTGAGACCATTGCTCACTGTTTTATCATTTGCCACCACTGAGGACAGTCCAGCTCCATCCCCTTTGGAACCACCCTTCAGGCAGTTAAAGGCTGCTATTAAATCCCCTCTCAGTCTCTCTTCTGAAGACTAAATAAGCCCAGTTCTCTAAGCCTCTCCTCAGAAGTCCTGTACCTCAGCCCCCTTGCCCTTTTCATTGCCTTCCCCCAGGCTCCCTCCAAATTTGTCCACATCCTCTGCAGTGGGGGACCCAAAACTGAACACAGTACTGCAGATGTGGCCTCACCAGTACTGAATAGAGGGAAAGAATCACTTCCCTTCATGTGCTGGCACTGTTCCTTCTAATGCAGCCCAGTATGCCATTAGCCATCTTAGCAAAAGGTACATCAACTTGTAATTCAGTCCCGTCTACTATAACTCCCAGGTCTGTTTCAACTGGCTAAGCAGCAGCTCTGCAGGTCCCAAGCCTGTACCAATACATGGGATTGTTCCATCTCAAGCGCAAGACTTGGTACTTGTCCTTGTTGAATCTCATGAGATCTTTTGGTCCAATCCTTTAGTTTGTATAGGTCACTCTGAATCCTAGCCCTACCCTCCAGCATATCCACTACTCCCCCCAGCTTGGCGTCACTCACAAACTTGCTTAGGGTGCAATCCATCCCATCATCCAGATGGTTAATGAAAATATAAACAAAAAACAAACAAACAAACAAACAAACAAAAAAAAGCAGCCCCAGGACCGACCCCTGGGGCACTCCACTTGATACCGGCTAGGGTTGCACCAAAAGAGATTTTTGGGGCTGATACTGACAGCTAATACAGCTCTGATTTCTGATACAGCTGCTTCCAATTGGAAAGTCTAGCGTGGTGGGGGAGGAGAGGGGCAAGGCCCCAAGCCTCATGCAGCTGCAGCCCACCCCGCCCTGTGCAGATCCAGGGGCCCATTCCTACCCCCCCACACACAGGTGCAAGCAGCAGCAGCTGTCCCCCACTCCCCTCCAAGCCACGCCTCTGCCTGCCTTGGGCAGTGCCTGCACCTGCCCCCACACCTCAGTGTGGGGGGCATTGCCCTGCCCCCCATGCCAGACTTATCAGCTGCAGGCAGTTCTCCATGCTGCTCAGTGCTGTACTGAGGCTGTGTGCAGCACGGGCATTTAAATCAGCCAAATTACTGGCCCCATCAGGCCGATATCCAATACAGCCAATTTTCTTTATAAATGGTACTGATCCAATAATTGGACTGATGTATTGGTACACCTCTGGGGGGCAGATCAAGGGCCCTATGGTGAAAGGGGGGAGTGGGGCTGGGGCTAGCACTGCCCAGCCAGGGTAGTGTGGGGTATGGGACAGAATGGCAAGTGGCTCACCTCAGGGGGCATGTGCCCCGCAGATCTGTGCAGGGCAGGGTGGATTGTGCCAGGCTGGCTGCAGCTACCCCAAAATTTGCTATAGCTGCCAGGACCCCCCCAGCGCTGCAGCTGCGTACCTCAAGTGCAGCCCCCACCAGGAAGAGCCTCTCTCACTTCAGGGAGCCTTGATCTGTCCTCCCCCACTGCCCCCATGCCCACCCCCCACCACAGACTTACCAGTTGCATGCAGCTCTCCAAGGTGCCAGGATGTGCTCCTTGCCACCTATGTGCTATGTGGTGGCTGCACGCATGCACGAGTCTGTGTGTGTGTGTGTGTGTGTGTGTGTGTGTGTGTGTGTGGCTGGTTTAAAAAACAAAACAAAACACACCAACCCAGCACATCAGGCTGATTTCTGATAGTTTTCTTTATAATCGATGCCAATCTGATATCAGATCAATGCATTGGTGCACCTCTAATAGAGGCTGCCTACTAGACAAAGTCATCGATCACTACCTGTTGTGCCCAATGATCCAACCAGCTTTCTATCCACCTTACCAATCCATTCATCCAACTCTTACTTCCTCAGCTTGCTTGCAAGAATGCTGTGGGAGACTATCAAAAGCCTTGCTAAAGTCTAGGTATAGTCATGTCTACAGCTTTTCCCACATCCACAGAGCCAGTAATCTCATCATAGAAGGCAATCATGTTGGTCAGGCATGACTTGCCCTTGCAGAATCCATGCCAACTGTTCCCAATTGCCTTCTTCTCCTCTAAGTGCCTAGAAATGGATTCCTTGAGCACCTGCTTCATGATTTCTCTGGGGACTGAGGTTCACCTGGCTGTGTAGGCTCTGGCTCTTCAGGTGGGCATGAGTCTGCACAAATGCAAGTTACTGTGGAACAGTGACATTATAATTCTCCATCCTCTCAACTCATACTTTAAGGACAAATCACAAAGCATTAGACAGATCCTCAAAAGCAATACTTTAATATGAGCATCTCTTCTATGCATACTTTTTGGGGTTCCTGGTAATGATGTACCACCCTGTCCCTTTTTTAAACTCATGAAAAAAGCTCCTGAAATTCCCCCTGCTCATATGGCAACATTTGCCACTTTCCTAACCATATGTATAAACAATCCAAGTAATTCTCCCCCTCCAACCTTTTGTCTCCAAGTGACCAGAGTTTACAGGACCAGGTAGAATTCTATTTTGTGTTGCTATTTCTCAACTATCACCCTAGCACAAGGGTAAGCACCCCCTGGCATGGGTGCCAGAGTATGGTATGCAAGAGGTATTTTGCTTGGTACATGTGCCTCAGGGTGGCCAGTGGGGAAGGGGCTTTGCTACTACAACAAGGATCGAGCCTCTCAAAGTTCCCTTGCTGTCCACCCCCAGCACACCAACATCTTACAAGCTAAAGTTGTGGGAGGGTTTGGCACTCTGCCCAAAAACACTACCAACTCCTGCCCTAGAATTTAGTCAAAAGTAAAGTGGTTGGTTACTCAACAAAAAGTTGTACAGGAAGTGCCAGTGTTGCTTCCTAAATGAAATCTGGAAAGTTTAAAACTTAACTGGGTTAGAGAGTGTGAACTAGCAATTAAGAAAAGAAGTTCATTTTTGCTGCCTTTCCCAAACCAAAATAAGGACTAGAATAGCAGTTCCCAATCTGTTACGCGTACCACCAGTGGTACACATTAATAGATTTATTATAATTATTTCATATGACAAAGACTTGCTGATGGTACTTAAGGTTGTATCGTTTTAAATTGGTGGTGATTCTGTCAGAGTTTGGAAGCCACTGGACTAGAGTACTTTTGCTAAAACCTGTAACAGTTAATTTTTAGAAGGATATATTGATTCCTTCCACTCTAATTATATGCTTATTTGAACCCATTTCTAAACTAGTTTCTGCAGTTTGAGAGGGTGTTGATTTGTTGCGTTAGTACTCTGTGCATAGGTTACTGCAGATTCATAATCTCCACAGTAGCTTGGCCCCTTTCACTGAAGGCAGAAGGGGCACCCACAGTTGAGAGCATCAAGTAACTGACAGTACACTACAACCCATGCCTTGTTCCACCCTCTCCCTTTTTATATCTTGCAGTACTTAGTTTGTCTGCCTATAATCTTAAGAGTTAACTGGTCTTCTGTTTGTGAAGAAAAAAAAAAAAAAGCTAATGTTTTCCTAAGTTAGGAAATAATGGAGCAAAGTCCTGTCAAAATTAAGAAGTTACTTATTATGCATTTGTGTATACAGGGCAGAACTGTTCAAAAGTCTTTACAAGAAGTCCAATGAAAGTCAGCAGTATTAAGTGCCAACGAGAAAATGATTGGTTCAGAGAACAATGACATGCCTTAAGTCAACACCTAAATTTAGAGGCAACTAAAACAGCTATTACAGGAGCAATTTAGAAACTCCATTTTGGACTGCAAAATTTATCAAGTTCTTTAAAGCCAAACTAAAGAGTATAAATGTCTGTGCTTTAAAAAAAAAAAATACCATCAACTGATTATTAGAAATTCATAT